TGTATGACATATTTCAGAGATAATATAGTCTCACATTATTGGAATAGTGAGTACAAAAAGTGGGTTTAAACTTAATAAGTAGGCCTACTTTTTGACAAGTTTTTCTTGTTCGAGTACATAGCAAATATGCCTCAAAAGGCCACCTTCCTTGTGACATCACTTCTAAGGTTTTTCACCTATGGTGTAAACTTCCTCATACATTTTAACCACATTTTGTGTTCTCACAGACAGGGAGCATCTATATCAGGTACAGAAACCATATATTTTTTTAAGTCAAATAATAATATTACAATTATACTTTTTAAATTAAAACAGCATACATTACTTGTATAATTCTGATTGCTGCATCAGAAAGGTCAAATTAAGAAACTGTGAATTGTCTGATTTATGTACGGCAGCGTCCGTGATTGCAAATTAGAGGATAAGTCACCATTTAGTATATATTTATTAACATATCATTTGAATAAATATTTCAAACAAAACTATATTTAGGTCGGTTGTCAATGTAAGGAATTGTTTTCTGTCTTTTTTTTTCTTGCTTGTGCACAGTGCACAATAGTGTCTATTGTTCAGCTAACAGACAAGTATATTTCTGATGATTGCTGATATTTTAAAGAAGTGTACATCATGTTCAAACACAGATCCACACTATGTGTACCCAGAGCGCCTTGCGTTTCAAGACTTTGGCATTTGAAATCATTCATTACGCTGAATATGCTGAAGTAACAACAGCTTATTCTGTTCTCAGACTCACACCGACAGCATTCCATTACTCGCCACAACTGAAAAATGGCAGGTGTGTTCTTCAAAGCACTGTGATCTTATGATGTTCTTAAACTTAACATGTGGCTTCGTTTTGAATAGATTCTTTGTCTCTGCAGATAATAACTATACATTTTACATACATGGAGCCGAGGAACAAATGTGTTCGGGATATCTTTACAAATCTCCCCCGGAGAATCAATTCAAGTCCCAGGTGTGTTTCTCTGGAAGAGAAGAACGGGTGATTATATCAGTACATCAGTGAGAGTCACTTTGCTAATTTCTCTCATCATGTATTTGTTTCCTTTCCTTTTTTGCAGAAATCATGGAAAAGGAGGTTTTTTGTTCTTCTAAAGTACAGAGACAACATATGCCAACTTAAGTACTACAAAAAGGAAGAGAAGAACAAACCACTGGGAGACATTGACTTGTCTAAGTATGCCCAATTGCACTTATTGACTTCCTGTATCATATCATTAAACCCCAAAAATCTGTCAACTGTCAAGCAACCTCCCACAGTACCTTAGCAACAATCTATCTTATCTATTCAACATAATAGTTTGTCTAGACAAACTTTCCTTCTATAATAAGTATTGCACAGTGAGACTGGAAATCATCTGTTTTTCTGTCTGTCCTTTAGGGTCACATACATGTTCTTGAACCCCGAGATGCATGCTATGTGGAAATGGATCCAAAACAATTTCAGATGTTCTTTGTCATGTGTGATGTTTATTAAAGTACCAGAAAGAGACTACTTCCTTATAGGAGAAAACAGGTTTGTCCATGTGTTCGCCTGGTTTAGGGCAATGATTTTTTGTTGTTGTTCTTTTTCGCGGCATAAATTGAGTGGAAATATTTTAGAAATATGCATACATTCTAAATATAAATAAGAAAATGAATTACAGATTTTTTTTTTAAACATTTGTTTTTATAAAAGCTGAATAGTCAAGATATGATTCAAGTATACATTTAAATAGTCTCGGAAAGATGCAATGTAACATATTTGTGCAGTTGGGAGATGGACAAATGGTTCACTGCTTTATTTGACATCTTAAACAATCGTCCACACAGACTGTTGGATCCCAAGGTAATGTTTTGACATTTTTGACTTGGAAATGTGTCTCATGCATTTCGTGCACAAATGTGCATTTTATACAAATAATTTCTTTAAGCTGAATCATCTGAATTAAACATGTGTCACACAGACATTTGGGTCAAAGAGACACATCGATGAACCTCCGCAATCCGAAAATGACAATAAGAAGGTATGCTAGCACATGGAACCGGCTGCTAAAAATAGGTCTGGTTTGTGTTGCCTACTGATATTACAGGTTTTATGAACTTTAACGATGCCTGCCTTTTGTACTTTATTTATTGGCCAATGCAAAGTTTCCCAACTATTTTTGAGAATTTTTTTTTTTTTATCACCAAAAGAGATTGACACCGTTTAGTCCCATTTAACTGTGATTTAAAACAATAATCAGCTCTTATAAATGCTCCATTAACCTTTTTGCAACCTTTACTGATTATATCAAACAAAATAAAAACAATCCCAGCCTATTGTCTGGAAAGAAAGAAAAAAACAGGTTTGCTAGTTTTAGAAACATTGCCTGTTGTTATTGTAATAGGGTTCATTCAACCCTTTACTGTAAGAGTTATTGTAACCAAACCAGTTCGATCCCTTTGACATACTTTTGTTATTATTGGACTTCATTTGTAACTGTGCAATAATAAGACAAGAAAATAATATCATCATCAATATTGTGCCAATGACAGAAAACTGAGTGGAATCAAACAAAATATGTTACACATGAGCTGCCATCATCTGTGACCCATGAGCCCATCTATGTTTCTCCGATAAAACTGAAGAGTAAGGTAGATACATGCAAACAACACAAGAGGGAGTATACACTTAAAAACAAACATACTTTACTAATATTTTCACTCTCTTTTTGATTATGGGAGACGGAAATAACAAAAATAAATCATGAAGATGACGACACAGATGAATTGTCAGAATGAATATCAACTCAGGCTTCATCCTCAACTCCAGCTGAGCGCTAACTGCCACAACAGACCAACAGCCTTGAAACAAGACTGAATTGAATGTATATTTGTTTTGTTGTTTTATTTTTACAGCTCAGGTAATATGTTGAATTAATTTCCAAATAAATGTAAAGTTGAACAGGATTCTTTATATGCTAAATCACAGTTTGTTTCACTGACTTGCACTAAAGCAAAGCAAAATGATGAATGTTTTCACAATAACACTACATTGGACACCTCAGTTGAAAGTCATAATGAGATGAACTGCTAAAGTTGGATTAATTTATCGATAGCAAAATTTACATCATTTACAAAAAATACATATACTTATTAAAGCAAATGACCACAAGACAATAATTTCAGAACAAGCTCATTTTCAAAGGGACCAGAACAATACAGAAAATCTTGTGGCATATGTAAATATGTACTTAATATACATTTAAAAATTACATTTGAAACAAATGTATGTTCTTATAAACTTCTTTAATGTGAAAAGTAAATAAAATAAAATGTAACTATATTATCTGTTTTAATGTGCACATTTGATTAAAATAGATTGTATGTTTTAATCAAATATTAAAATATATTGTATGTTTAGTCAATGTCATTTTGTCTTTTAATAAAATATTTCTGGTATCAGTTTTATTGACTTCCAGTGTATGTTCTCTAGCAAAGAGTCCCAAAACTCACTGACATCTTATATATCTTGATATCCTAAAATGTCTGTTTTTATTTATTTATTTTTGTTTATTCCACAAACAAATTAAGTATTACTTTTCTTTGTGTATTTTATATGATATGTAGCATTTTGATTATAAAGGTTTCTTTTCATTAAAATCTTTGCTTCCAATATGTATGTATAATTTGTTCTCAAATCTGTAGAATTTATCTGTATCTGTGCATTCTGTACAAAGCACAGATTAGATAAATTAGTGCCAGGTCGGAAGTTATTTATTTATTTTTAGGCCAGGAACAAGAAAGTGCAACAATGAAATACATTCTCAGACACCCATTATATACACTGTCACTAATCAATGGTTTTGTCAGAGAGTGCGTTATCACACCACTGTTCACAACTCCTCAATGACACCATTTAGAAGGGAAGATCAATATCACATGCTCAGGGACCCTAACCAGGACTCCTAATAAAAATCTAGATTTCTTTTTATGTTTTACTTTCATTAAAAGTATTATCTTATTATTGCACATATTAGATCATTAGTTAAAGTTAATTCAAATACTTACAAATGTCATGGCATTTTATTTATATATTTTACTTAGACTGCCATACATTTATTTAAATAACATGAGTGATAAAACCACCTGAACACTCCCAACCCCACCTCACCCTGCCAAGAGCATGTTACACTTGGAAAAAAATCCAGGAAAAAGTAAAGACAATTATTATTAGTCTATTTACTGAAATCAATCAGGATTTCCCCCAACAATCCCCAGCAGCACACAGGGAAAGAAATAATTATTTTTTGGCATGGTAACTTATTAAGTCACCTCTTGCATTCCTAAGGGGAACCAAGAGCTTGTAAGTAACTGCATAAATAACTATAATCCAATAAATGGGGAGATTTCAAGATTCAAGTTTATTATGTACAGGAAACTGTCCACATAACCATAATGTGTTACACCATACAATTAAATTCTTACTCTGTGAATCCTCTCAGCTGCCTCTCACATAAGTTAAGGACATAAGAATAAAACACAATACATAAATTAAACAATTACACAATTACTAAGAAAGATGCACGAAACAAAAGTGTTGCATGTACAAAGTGGACAGATGCAATGTAAACAAGGAAGACATGCATGTGCAAAGACCAGTAGAGGTAGATTGAGGCAAACCAGACATGAGTGTGTGTGCGTGTGTGTGTGTGTGTGTGTGTGTGTGTGTGTGTGTGCGTGTGCGCGCGCAAAATATGCCAACGTAGTCTGTAGTCTCTGATGTTATTTGCATTATTATGTGTTCAGTGTATAAGACTATGAGTGTATATACATGTTTCAGTCACCACTTAGTGCATGTGCTTCAGAAGCTACATTTATTTTTGTAGTATCGACTTTACCACAATACCACAATGCCATGAACAGACACAGTCAAAGGGGAGGGATCCTAAACCTGAGCTCACATATAACCAGAAACTCCTCCTTTTACCAGCATAACACTCTGAAAGAGACAAAGGACCTTTAGCTTCCTCCTAAATTGCCATCAAAACATACACCTTGTGAGAGCTGAATAACTTTTCAGAGGACATTATTTTTACCGTGACACAAGGTAAAGCAATAATATTATAGAATATTGATGATTCTGCTTGGTGAGGCTTGTAGCATGTGATGAAATCTGAGTTTAAAACATTCATAAAGACATCATGCAATGTTATTATATAACATATATTTGAAATATGGTGGAGGGTTAATGTCCATTGCATTTTAATTGGTCTTGTGCTGACATTGCATTTTTTTAATATATATAAATCACTGTAGTTTACTTCTGTTTATCAGATATATTCCAGTGGCTTAGAGTAAACTAACTTAAAACATTTCACATCTATTTTAGGATTAAAGCAACAACATCAGGATGTCCAACAAAAAGAAACCAAGTAAGTCTTAAAAATCTCTTGGAAAAAAATTAGATAATCAAGGAAGACCATTTAAAAACTCAAATTAAACTGAACAGCATCAATATGTTTAATGTTGTTTTAATTATGTTTCTGCAGCAGCAACTTCAACATTTTACAGTGAACCAGCGATAGTGGAGGAACTGTACACTGGATACCTGCTCAAGTCCCCCGCTCAACCAGCCCTAACTAAAAGCATTGTACGTCTCATATTGCATTTCAGCCTGAAACTGAAATATCTGCAGTCTGTCAAAGACAGTTCCTCTGTTTGTGAAACTTAGCAGTTTTATATATCTGTCACAGAAATCATGGAAGCGTCGTTTCTTTGTGCTCTCCAAAACGGGTGAAGACTACCAGCTGACATATCATGCAAACAACGAAACAAAAGAGATAGACCTTTCTAAGTAAGGAAAAGACTGTCAAAGTCATTAATAAATGAAGTATTTTCACACTATATTGAGAACGTCTTTCTGTTTTAAAGGATCAGCCTGCTGCGTATTGGCCCTGAGGCACATCAGAAGTGGGACTGGATCCAGAAAAACTTCAAGTGTTCTCTGTCCTCTGTGCTGTTCTTGAAGGTGGACGACGACACACCAAAACACTCTAGAGACTATTTCCTAATTGGAGAAAACAGGTTTGCCACCATCATTTAGACCATATTTCTCATTGCTATCACTATATAGCTCCATGAAAGCAAGCATGATGCAGGCAAAAAACAAACAAACAAACAAACAAAAACCAATATTTAAAGCCTCAATTAAATCTAAATGAAAGTTTTGTGGCTTTTAGTCCATGTCTATTAGTTCTGAAGCCATGTATATGTTAGTAGTGTAGCTTATACAGTAGTACATATACACATTTAAAACTGAGCCTTCAGAGTCAGTCAACAAAGCTTTATCAGCATGACTAAGCATTTAGTATATTGCCAAAGCATATTCAAATATTAAAATAGACAAAACAGAAAATAAATGTGAAGTAAATAAAGAGATATATTAGATCAAGGGGGAAATTAAAAAAAGACATGGTAAGAATAATCAAATAATTAAATTTTACAATTAACTTTTGCAGTTCATCTCATCACACTCAGAATGTAAAGTGTGTATAATAAAATAAAATTAAATTAAATTAAATACTGATTTTCATTTTTTGAGTCTTTAAGCAGTAGCTTAATTCTGCTTCTATAGTTAGTTATATATTCTGGAAATATAATTCTAGAAATATTTTATTTGACTATTTCCATTTTAAAACACCTGATGCAGTTTTTCACTAGTGTTAAAGGTTTTCTGGTGTTTTCAGTGATGATGTGGATGGTTGGCTCAATGCCTTAGTCAAGGTAATGAAGACCCAGAAATCACAAAATACCCTTCAGGTAAACATTAAAATATCTCTCTCTTCACATGTATGCATATATAAACTACCTGTCAAAGGTTTAGATACGCCTACTGATTTTTTAACATTACCATTTCCTGAATAATGAATAACAAAAGGAAATATGGAAATTATGTAGTGATAAAATCTTTATTTTTAATATTATTATTACTTTAAATAATTTATTATTTTTGTATATCTTTTGTATATTTGTACATCTTGACGATTTATATTTATCTACAACTTATATACAAGCATTTAAGCATGCTCACATGCTTTACTTTTTCCACAGGAAAACAGATTTAGATCAGCATCTGAACCTGTGAAGAGTTCGGAACCAAAGGTTGAGGATCAGCCTGATGACAGACGGTCAGCACCTGAATTAATGTTAACTTACCCGTCACCGTACAGCCATTATGACTATCCTCGCAAACTCAGCGAACCTCCAGTACCAGTAGCACTCAAGGTTTTACACATTTACACACAGTTTCTTCAATATACAATATGCACATAATTGCTCTTAAACTTCCTACTGAAAAAATTAAACTCAAACCTCTGCCTGGCAGATTCCAGTTATTGAACATAAAGATGAGAAGGATGAGATGCAGGATGAATCTGCAGAGGACAGCAATGAATACATGCGCATGGCATCATTGTAAGTGTTTGAGAGCACTTTTCCCCTTAACTGGCCTAGTGGAATGTAAAATTGTAATTAATTTATTTTTCTGTGGTCTTTTCTAAATAGGCAAAGAGCTTTGGAAGTTGACCAACAGGAGGCGGACACTACATGCATGCAGAAAATGTAATTTTATGTTTATAAGATAAACTCAGCGTCTGTTGCCGTTTGACACATTGTAATGTGTTCACCAAGTTCAATATTTTTGTTGTCTTTTTCAGCGCTTCCATTAATGGTCACGAGTCCTCTGTGTGCAATGGTGCAGTCAACCAGTATGAGGACGATGAAAATAAATGGTAAATTTGGACTTGAATGCATCTTTTGAAAGAGCTACCACTGCATTTTGTTGCTGAATCCACCTGAATCACGTCAACTTTCTTATTAGTGCATTATGAATAAAAGAGCTATATTTAGCATGAAAAATATGGCATCTGTTTGAATTTGATCAATGCATATTTCTATTCTGCAGTGAAACACACACACATGTTGAGAAGGAGATCTGCGTTAGGCAAAATGATCTGAAAAACAGTCTGATCTTGACTCAGGCAGAGGGCAAACCCTGGTATAACTCTCACTGATAATTAATTACAGTTATTACAGTTTAATATGTATCCTATTCTGAAAGCATTAATATGAGTACAAATGAACAACTTACATTGTATTATGTTTCTCATTGTTGTGTGTTCATCCTTTTCCTCTCCAGTGTCTCTGACTGTCAGATGATTCAGGACTCGTGTCTCTTCCATAAGGGGGACCAGATCCTGGCCTTCAATGACCTGCTTATAGACACAGTAGACGAGATACAAACATACTTAAGAAGACTAAGCAAGGATGAGGTAAGATGACGATTCACAGTAAAATAATGTTTTTTTGTCACTACATTAAGAGAGCTATTATTAATGCTACTGAAATTGCATGCAGGTAAAACTCACTATTCGGCGGCTTATAGGATCCCAGCCTCTGCACTCTGAACCCTGTCCAACATAACGGGGACATGAAACAAAATCGCATGTGAATTCAGCAGCATCAAGATATTAGAAATACAGGTGGAAAACAAGGTGTTAATGAAGAACAGAAGAGGCAGTCAGGTTATCTAAAGTAACTTGTCCTCTTTTGACTGTACATTAATCATGTAAATATGTAAAACAATGTGAATGTTAGATGCACTCACCTTAAAATGTCACTGAGTGAAAGAAATTAGTACGATTTAGACTGTATACATGAAACTGTGAGTGGTAGTGAGTAAATTAGATCACATCTGTTAATGTGAAGAACAAGAACAAGAGTCAAGTATTACTTTATAATAAGTATGAAGGTTAATTCACATTGAAAAATGCACAGTTCAAAACTGTTCATGTATTTTATCCTCTTTAAAGATGCACTTTTTTAACAATCCGAACAAGGTACTTTATATATATATATACTGTGTATATACAAGTTAAGTCAAGTCAAGTCACCTTTATTTATATAGCGCTTTTAACAATACAGATTGTGTCAAAGCAACTGAACAGCATTAATTAGGAAAATAGTGTCAATAATGCAAAATGACAATAGTAAACACTCATTTTTCAGTTAAAGACAGTTCATCATTGAATTCAGTGATGTCATCATCCAGCTCAGTTCAGTTTAAATAGTATCTTTGCAATCATTTGCAATCAAGTCAACGATATCGCTGGAAATGAAGTGTCCCCAACTAAGCAAGCCAGAGGCGACAGCGGCAAGGAACCAAAACTCCATCGGTGACAGAATGGAGAAAAAACCTTGGGAGAAACCAGGCTCAGTCGGGGGGCCAGTTCTCCTCTGACCAGACGAAACCAGCAGTTCAATTCCAGGCTGCAGCAATGTCACATTGTGCAGAGGACTCGTCTGGTTCCTGTGGTCTACAACTTTTACAACTTTTCTGTCATTGTCTATTTTGTTTTGCAAAGCATTTAATCAATTATGTATTGCTCCTAGTCATTATGATTTGATTCAAATGTTTCAGTCACTCTTTAGATTGCTGATTACTAAATATCATTTAGCCTATGTAATTTATACATGAATTATGCTGTAGAAAAACATGTATTTGCACACTATTACAATGTGAAATATTATTAAACTTTTGAGTCATTTTTTGCAATGATTTCATAACTATGCATATATTTTATATATCATTAGATATTACTTTTACAGATGTACTAAATTTTGTAATTTAAATTTTTTATCATTTGTTTTAAAAATAGTCAAAAAATAGTCGAGATATAAATTGATTATTTTTAAATAGTCTCTGAAAGATGCAATGTAACATATTTGTGCAGTTGGACAAAATGAGATGGACAAATGGTTCACTGGTTTATTTGACATCTTAATCATCTTAATCATAATCGTCCACACAGACTGTTGGATCCCAAGGTAATGTTTTGACATTTCTTACTTGAAACCGTGTCTCAAGCAGTTCATACACATGTGTGCTTGGTATACAATTAATTTCACGCTGAACCATCTAAACTAAAGATCTGTTACAGACATTTGGGTCAAAGAGACACATGGTGAACCGCCCGCAATCATAAATAGACAATGAGCAAGTATGTCGGCACATGGCCATATGCCTGTTGTCTGGAGGAAAAAAACAAAACAAAAAACAGGTTTGATAATTTTACAAACATTGCTTGTTATTGTAAAAGGATTTATTTAACCCTTTGCTGTCAGAGATACTGTGACCAGTTCAGTCCACTTATTTTGATTATCAAGACTAATTTGTAGCTGTGCAGTAAGAAAATGATATCATCACATTGGGCCAATGACAGAAAACTGAGTTGGGTCATACAAAACATGTTACACATGAACTATCATCTTCTGTGACCCATGAGCCTATCTATGTTTGTCCTACACAAGAGGAAGCACAAACTTATACACATAAGCATACTTTAGTAATATTTTCACTCTCTTTTTGCTGGTGAGAGACAGAACTGACAACAGAAATAAATCATGAAGATGATGACACAGTTGAATTGTCAGGCTTCATCTTTCCTGTTTAATGGTTTAAGTAATATGTTAAAATAATTTCCAAATAAATGTAAATTAGAATATTTTTTTTATATACTAACGTACATTTTGTTTTACTGACTTGCAGTAAAGCAAAGAAAAATTAATATTGCTTACACAATAACACTGCACTGGACACCTCAGTTGAGAGTGATAATAAGATGAACTGCTAAAGTTGGATAAATTTACTGATAGCAAAATTCACATAATTTGCAAAAATAAATATACTAAAACAGATGACCACAAGACTGTCAGCACTCAGTGTCGGAGAGAGGACGGAGACGTGGATCAAATGAACAGTCTTTTGCTGCGTCTCAATGTGCCTACTTATACTACGCCCTTAAAGTATGTACTCTTTTGGTGAAGAAAAAGTACACACTTTTGAGTGTGTAGTAGAAGAGTAGGCAAGCTTTGGGACATACTATCACATCACACAACTGCGTCTTTAACAGACGCTCTGTCGCATAGATACACGCACCCTGTCACTGTAAACATCTGAATAGGGAACGAGATGCTGCGATGACGTTATCGCTTTGGGAACACCTTTGGTGTGACGAATGTCTGAAGCCCTTATACCATCACGCCAATTCATTGGCCAAATAGCGCTTAGCACTGCCCCCAACGCGCACGTAGGTGAGCTATATCACCGTGCTGCGCGCTATTTCATCAGATTTCCACTGGTTTACGAAGGAAGCGCTATCAAAGGTACGGAACGGCCAAGCATCGCAGCATCTCATTCCCTATTCAGGGAACCAAGGTTACATACGTAACCGAGATGTTCCCTCTCATAGGCTCACTTCGATGCTGCGATGACGTCATCGCTTTGGGAACACCTTCGGTGTGACGAATGTCTGAAGCCCTTATACCATCACGCCAATTCATTGGCCAAATAGCGCTTAGCACTGCCCCCAACGCGCACGTAGGTGAGCTATATCACCGTGCTGCGCGCTATTTCATCAGATTTCCACTGGTTTACGAAGGAAGCGCTATCAAAGGTACGGAACGGCCAAGCATCGCAGCATCTCATTCCCTATTCAGGGAACCAAGGTTACATACGTAACCGAGATGTTCCCTCTCATAGGCTCACTTCGATGCTGCGATGACGTCATCGCTTTGGGAACGCTATACCATAACGCCTGACGTACCTTTAGATAGCTGGAAGACCAAGGAAAGCGTCTGCTCAAGCGGATTAGACCCGGGAGCCAGGAGCCAACCTCACGTCCAGACTGTAAAACTTGATGAAGGTGCTAGGAGAGGACCATCCTGCCGCAGCACAAACATCTTCCATCGAGGACCCCTTGAAAAAGGCCTGAGAAGAAGCCACTGCTCTCGTAGAATGAGCACGCACCCCTAGAGGCGAAGTCAAGCCACGTGCCTCATAGGCCAAAGAGATAGCCTCCACTATCCAGTGTGACATCCGCTGTTTAGTGACAGCAGAACCTCTGCTCTTACCACCAAAACACACAAATAACTGGTCAGATCCACACCACTGAGCCGTGCGGTCGACATAGATCCTAAGTGCCCTAACTGGGCAGAGACTCAGGCTAACTGGCCCCGCATCAGCTGGGGAAAAAGCCTCTAAGACCACTTGCTGAAAGTGAAACAGAGTCGAAGCGACCTTAGGAACATAATCAGGCCTAGGTCTCAAAAAGACTTTAACCAGTCCTGGGGCAAAGTCCATACACGAAGGACTGATGGAGAGAGCCTGCAGATCCCCTACCCTCTTAAGGGAGGATAAAGCCACCAAAAGAACAGTCTTGAGGGTCAAGAACTTCTCTGACATCGACTCTTGTGCCAGACGCTACATTGTCGTAATCTCAGCCGAGAAACCGGAACACATTAGCGTACTCCGCTCAGGGGCCACACCCATAACCTCCATAATTTCGGTCGAGGATGCCAAATCATGCCCCGAGCTTGTGTCAACAGATCGTGTCTGAGGGGAACCTCCCATGGAA